AGCATTAATACACACACATTTCAGAATTGTAAACTCTGCATCAACAGAGGGCTGTGGAGGGGGAGGGATTTGAAACACATGGTGACCCACTCCCATTCCCTGCATCATCAACCTTCGGATGGCACATGTTGTTTCAGTCACACTGATGGACTGGGGAGACCTGGTGACCCCCTTCCATTACATATCCCCCTGCCTGATGCTCCCTGAGATACTGGACAGCCACTCACAACCAAGTTGATTTCAGTATGCACAATGTTCAGTGTTTTGTCTGTTAATCATTGATAAACATGTTGATTTGTACTTCTATTAATATCACACGGAACAATGTTCTACTCATATGACGATCCGGGATAGAATAGGTCTTCAGCAACCCATGCTTGCCACAAAAGGCGACTACGCTTGTCGTAAGAGGCGACTAACGGGATTGGGTGGTCAGGCTTGCTGACTTGGTTGACACATGTCATCGGTTCCCAATTGCACAGATCGATGCTCATGCTGTTGATCACTGGATTGTCTGGTCCAGACTCGATTATTTACAGACTGCCGCCATATAGCTGGAATATTGCTGAGTGCGGCGTAAAGCTAAACTCACTCACTCACTGTAAATAATCAAACCTTGACAAGAGAAACCAGTGATAAATAAATCTGATTCATTCAGTCAGCCTTGTACATTAAACATTTGTAGTAATGACCTATTTAAAGCAGTAACCCAGTATTTCCTACACCATGATAAGTCAACATAAAATCAAACTTGATGAACAATCCCTACTTTAGACCTAAAAACTTTCATGCAAAGGTGCCTCTTTGGAAAATCCTTAGATAGAACATATTAAACTGTTTCCAGCTTTTAATATGACATGTCACACTGTGACAACCCATAACCCAAATAGCCTGGACTTCAATGGAAGCATTCACCTTTAGCAGAAGTAGCATCCCCTATTTTTGGTAACTTATTATCTGTTTACAGTGAGTAATCATTCATTATTTGATTGTGCATCTCCATAGAAGAGTGAGCAGCGCCCTGGCAATATGGAGTCACGTTACATGAATCTTCAAGTAGTCTACCCACTGTGAACCATTGCAAACAAGCTGAGCCATGAAGTTCTCCAGAACAGAGAATTACTCAAACCATTCTATAACGACACCTCCCTCTAAGTTTAAATCACCCTCAGCCTTCTACCACAACACCTCCCTCCAACCTTAAATCACCTATATATCACCCTCCTGTAACAGATTGTAAAGGCAGAATATCATAAATTGATACCTTTGTCTACTATTAGAAACATTGTCCTTTAGAGGCATATCATGTGTGAGGCATTTAACCAAAGATTGTTTCTGGTGAAAAGAAACATACAAAACCAAAGTTAAAATACAGTCATGAGGTCATGTAGCTCACCTAACCCATTTCTGATGTGGCAATGAAGAAGATGACATCAAAACTTGAAAATCACCAAGATCATGAAAGATTGAAAACAAGCAAGAAAGAAATTTAGTATAGCAAAACAGACATTGTAAGAATTCAACATAAGTCTGCTGATCTAAGACTACTATAAATTCATAAAAGACTAGTGACATTTTCTTGAAGAACACCATCTTTAACTTAAGGTAACTTAATGGCAACTCCGATGCAGATAATTTTTGAGCACTTGAGAAAATATAAATTAATTTCTAACCTTGGATACACTAAGAGTACACAAACTAAAAAAGTCAGTTGTGAATATCATAATATTAATATCATATAATACAATTTGTTCTGAAGTAGTACATCTAGAAATGATTCCACTTGCTGAAGTCCACATTCAGGTTCAATAGCCATCCAACATGTTGGAAGTGTTCTCATGGGCAATGCACATTGTGTTTGTTTATTGAGCATTATTACACAAGTCTAGTTGTTGGTATATACTTTACTGTCAGTACTGTCTCCAAGGCTGCCGTCATATTTCAGTTTGTCAGACTGTTGGAAATAGGTAATCAGTGTTCCCTGTAACTTCAAATAAAATAACTTATCTTGATGCAACAGAAAATTCTTAACTGAAAATATACCTGTTCATGTGTTGCCACAACATGTTATGAATAAGGCATCTATTTCTAGCTCACATGAGTTCCCATCCATTACTGGATGACAAATATCTGTCTGACATACAAAATTAATTAAAGGAACATCAGGCAGCTGTACTTCCTCAGCCACCTTGTTCAGAACTGTCAATCATCGTTCGTTTGTTCGTGAGTACTGGAGTTTCAGCATTATTCAGCATTATTACTTCAATGTGCAATGAACAGAAACCTATCCCACCCAAACACTTGTCTCCTCTACTGTCCCCACTGATCCCTGCCAGGGTAGATCCAGTGGGGTAGCCTAGTGGTTAAAGCCCATTTCTGGTGTCCCCGCCGTGATATTGCTGGAATATTGCTAAAAGCAACGTAATACCTTAATTCACTCACTCATTCCTGCCAGAGTATGATAGCAAAGCAGAAAGTTGGAATGACATGCTTCTTTCAGTTATACACACATTTTGTCATTGTGATAGAGTTTTTCAACAGAGTTATAAAATCTGATGACTAACATAATTATGAATTCCATAACACATTTTCTTTGCTACATGGCCAGACAATGCCAATGTGGACTGAGAGTTTCCCTCACTCACTGTCAAATGGCCTAGATTACATGTGAAGCCTGGAGAGGTAGGAACCTCCCTGCATACCCTTGAGGCATTCATATGTAAATACATCACATACCTTCATCACCATTTGGACTGCTGTACAGACTGTATCACTGGCCACTACACACAACCTGTCTCTCAATATCACATTAATATAGGAACAACTTTTGACATCTCACTGCAAAAGCAATTTTCTCAGGTGTTCACAGGTAACTGTCACAAAACTACACCTAACAAATGAAATTTGTCACCTTGGATCCAAACTCATACCTGACTTAATAACCTGACCTATAACCTGAGACCTCGGCTTCTGACCTTGTAGAATTTCATATTTTTCCTTCTGAAGGATATTTGAACATAGAGGAAAGGGCCTGCTTATCAACGACAGAGAAATGTTGCGAAAGTAACATGTTAATCCAAGAATAGCGAACACATGCAGCAAGGACGTACACAAACTTGTAGTGAAGAAATAGGACACATGGGACAATAACCGCTGTATGCTGTGGGAAGCACAGTGACAGATCTATGTTACACAGGTATAAAAGGGAATGTGTTTTGTTAGGCAACTCGTGTCACGCTTGAGTAAGTCTAACGTTTTGTACATGTGTCTACAGTAATATACACGCATTATGTGACACTCAAATAGAAAAAGTCTGGAGTCATGTTTCAGGGCAGTTCTGGGTGTGCCAGATTAATCAACTTGTTGAAATGTAAAACAATTCATTTTTTTTTTTAACAAATATGACACTGAGTACACAAACTTGACATAAAGGTTTGTACATCAGTCATTGCTCCAAGTCAGAGTGTTCCCTCGTAAAGTTCCCCTAATGAGGCTAAAGACGAATAAACAAAAAAGTGTCTACTACAGTCGATAAATTTGATAAAATCAAACATGTCAACGTCTCCACTGATTTACTGTAACCATGCAATGTAGGCATACTGCAGAAAAGAGGGAAATAGAGAAAGCGACTGATAATTCATGGCCACATAATACACAGTAGTGGAAGTACTTTGTGGTTGGTTCACATTGACAGGCTCAGACAAAATGAACCATGTGAGAAGGTCCCTTTTGGAAGCAACAACCAAGTCTGCCACAGTAAAATAACATCCACTGAGAGCTGAATGTCCTTCTAGTTGACCAAACCAAACAGCTATATATTGTGATCATGGAATCCCCAATTTCAAAAACCATTAATCCTACCATACTGGGAAGCAAGTGTGTATCTATGTAATTTCAGTCAAAGACTGACGATTCACAATGAAACTTTTGAATTCACAGCTTCTGTTGAATACTAGTAATTGGCGAGTTACTTTAATGAAAAACGTTGCAGCCCTTAATGAATTCATTTCAAGAGCAATTCTGAAACTGAGATCATCTTGACCTATTAAACAACCATTCTAATCCTGACCGATCATGATAAGGCTGAAGCAGTGATTTATAGTCAAACAAAAACCATTCTTGGCAGCTCTCCATTGTGAATTAATCACTGGAAGCCTTAAATGTTCAGAAAAATAAAAGAAGAAGTGAACCTCGTGTAATGTCAGAACTTGAACACACGATTTCAGTAAACCTAGAAAACACCAGGACAAACAAGCACCATAAACCATTGCCTCTCAATGTCTGCCATATGCTTCTCCTCACTCACAGGAACAATAGGCAGCACACAGCTCATGGATATTGTTTTGTTTCCAAGTTTTATTACATCACGACACAACGTCAAAAGTCAACCATGGAAAGCATTCACGCCTCCACAAAATGTCAAATAGTCACAGCCTTCTGAAATGACCTTCTCGAGGTCGACCTCACACCTGCTATGAGTTTGAAAAGTTAAAAAACCAAAACAGCTTATGATCTGAGGCTCTCAACAAGAAAATTTTGAAAGAAAACAAAATTGTCTGCAGGTCACTTTTCATTTTACATTTGCAATATTTACTAACATTTAAACTACTTTTTGTACTGTTGGCTTGGAAAACTGATAGAAGACACTATTACCAGGTAACTTTCATACAAGCCTAAAAAATCTGCAATTACCAAGAACAAACTACAGCTCCATGTCACCAGGGTAATAGAAAATTAACTTCCATAGCTAAATGAATCACAAAAAGTACATCACACACCAAACTTCTTGTACAGAATTCAAAGTCCAGCAGCTCCGAAACCATTAACCAGAATACCACTCTCCAGCAGGGGAGCAAGTATGTCATTACACAGCATCAATTTAGTTCTATTTAAGGACAGGCAGCTACAGAAATATCTCACTATAAATTGGGCTGGCACGGTAAGGAGTCGTAAATGTCTATATATATACATACATACATACAAATACGGTATATTCTTACCTTTGAGTATGTGTTTGAGTTCCTTGGCAGCTCTGGTTGTTGTAAACTTGTTGACAATGTCTAGTGCTGTCTGGTCGTAAGAGTTGGGCTTGTTGACATCAATGCCACACTGGAAATAACAAGTTGGTAATTTCATCAAATGCTGAACTGATGAAGTAAGAGAGATAGAAGGTCATCTTGACCTAAAAATACCAGATTCTTGAGCTTTGTGGATTCTGTCATGTTTTCTACGATAACATCACAAGCAGCTTGTCAAACAGAATATATTATTTTCTCAATGGGTACTTTGAAGAGTGGGTCAAAAAGCCACCTGGCACTTTTCAAATGTGATTAATATCAGAGGGATGAATTTCTAAGCATAAGCTTCAAAATGAATGTTATGATATAAAACACATTAAAAAATACAATGGTTCTCTAATTAAATAATACAGTTCCGAATGTAAGTTGTTTTATGTTAGGGTCATCAATACTTCAGGATTACCATGCAAGTTCATAACCGTAAGTCTGGAGCAGTCACACCAATGACTGATAGCATGATCATCAATCCATGGGCACATGGTTTATGATCATTTAGGTCACACTGTGCAACTACGCAGGATAGGATACTTGAGATTCAATCTGTTCCAGAATATGGCCAAAATGGAGAGTCCCATGTTTAATATTGTCAGAACTTAATACCTCGAAATGTAATAATTTACTTAAAGTCCAGTGCATAATGATACTCTGTGTCAAAATGTGTATCATGAAGGGATGTATTGATACATTAAACGTAAGAGAACATATTAACTGTGACTTGTAAAATAAATGACAAGTAATAGTGAAAGAAGTCAAAGAACAACAGATTCTTATATATTACAATAGTAAATCTGTGAGTTAGCCTAATGGTTAAAGTGTTGACTCATCACATCGAAGACCTGGGTTTGATTCCTCACATGGGTACAATGTGTGAAGCCCATTTCTGGTGTACCCTGCCGTAATATTGCTGGAATATTGCTATCAGTGGTGTAAAGCCATATTCACTCATTCACTCACTAGCATAGTATATACCTTTCAGCTAAAAGTTTTGGCATTCATATGAACCATTATCATCTCATTCTACCAGGTACCCATAAGCTGCTGGGTGAATAGCGGTATATCTAAAACAAAGTCACTTTAAATACAGCATACCTATCAACAATAGTAGCACTGCATACTTGATACACTTGACTTGTAAGGATCTGTATGCATGTATAGCTGAGGACATGCAGGTATGGCACCCTGACATGCTGCGTTTACCGCTAGTTGCCAGCTGGGTCATGACGTCAACAATAGGAATGTACACACCGCTGGGTAAACACACACAAGTGTCATCAAGTGGTGCACTACAGAAAGCCAATGTACACAGTCATTGTATGCCAGCACAGCATGTGAACCACAACATGTGACTGTCTACACTATAGCATTTAGCACAACATGTGACTGTCTACACAATAGCATCTAGCACAACAGGTGACTGTCTACACCATGGCATTCAGCACAACATGTGACTGTCGTCATATTAGCATTCAGCACAACATATGACTGTCTACACCATAGCATCAGCACAACGTGACTGTCGTCATATTAGCATCCAGCACAACGTGACTGTTGTCATATTAGCATTCAGCACAACATGTGATTGTCTACACCATAGCATCCAGCACAACATGTGACTGTCTACACCATAGCATCCAGCACAACATGTGACTGTCTACACCATGGCATCCAGCACAACATGTGACTGTCTACACCATGGCATCCAGCACACCATGTGACTGTCTACACCATGGCATCCAGCACAACATGTGACTGTCTACACCATGGCATTCAGCACAACATGTGACTGTCTCCAGCACCATGGCATTCCAGCACAACATGTGACTGTCTACACCATGGCATCCAGCACAACATGTGACTGTCTACACCATGGCATTCAGCACAACATGTGACTGTCTACACCATGGCATTCAGCACAACATGTGACTGTCTACACCATGGCATTCAGCACAACATGTGACTGTCTACACCATGGCATTCAGCACAACATGTGACTGTCTACACCATGGCATTCAGCACAACATGTGACTGTCTACACCATGGCATCCAGCACAACATGTGACTGTCTACACCATGGCATCCAGCACACCATGTGACTGTCTACACCATGGCATCCAGCACAACATGTGACTGTCTACACCATGGCATCCAGCACAACATGTGACTGTCTACACCATGGCATCCAGCACAACATGTGACTGTCTACACCATGGCATTCAGCACAACATGTGACTGTCTACACCATGGCATCCAGCACACCATGTGACTGTCTACACCATGGCATTCAGCACAACATGTGACTGTCTACACCATGGCATCCAGCACAACATGTGACTGTCTACACCATGGCATTCAGCACAACATGTGACTGTCTACACCATGGCATTCAGCACAACATGTGACTGTCTACACCATGGAATTCAGCACAACATGTGACTGTCTACACCATGGCATTCAGCACATGTGACTGTCTACACCATGGAATTCAGCACAACATGTGACTGTCTACACCATGGCATTCAGCACAACATGTGACCATCTACACCATGGCATTTAGCACAACATGTGACTGTCTACACCATAACATGTAGCACAACAGGTGACTTTCTACACCATAGCATGTGACCTTCACAACAGTATGTGATAAGCTGTATATAGCATGTGTCTATACATATGCATCTGCAAATAATATAATCTGTTCATGTGTTTCTTGGCTGTTTGGTTGAAGCCAGTCACTAAGCAACATTCAAGTTATATAACAATGGCCTGTAAATAATAAGGTCATTAGCAGACATTGATTGATGATATGATGAAAGATCCATCACCCTAGTCACCGTGGCTGACCATCCAATCGCAATGCTTCCTGCAACCATCACATAAGGTTGCTAAGGCTTTATCCTAAACAGGAATTCCCTCATTACAAAAATCATGGAAGTTTCAGCATGTTCTATGGAACAATATCTTACAAGCAGTCTACTGTACAACATTAACTGGTAGCTACAACAGCACATAAAAACATCTCCTTACTTCCCACAGACAGGCATTAGCCCCTGCTGACTTCAACATAAACTGGGCAAAGGGAGGTAACTCTTCTGGTTTGAATTGTTCAGGCGAAATATCCACTTATCTAAACACATGACACAAATATTTATGCTGGAATCATACATGTATAAATATATAGTTTCTCAAACTGAGGTTAAATGTCCAGTGTATATAAACAAGCATCTATAGATTATTTTGATAAATCCATCCCGAGCTCAATATACATACAAGAAAAGGAAATATTTTGATACAGATGATAACCTTTTAATAATTCATTCAGTTTCTCTGATGTAACGCAGATTGAGTTTACCATTTATCAAGATGAGTGTGAAATTCTGGTTGTAATGGAGAAATGTAAATACTGTTACTGATATCATAAGATACCATCCACTCCCATCAATCTCTCCAACTTGCTGCTGTACCAGATACTTTCTCGGAAGTGCATTAGTTTTACAGATTTGCATTTGACTGAATCAGTGATCAATCATTACCAAAAGCCTGTCAGGAAAATAAGCAGAAACAGTTGTAGTTTCAATACATTTCCATATGTCTGACTGTTATGTAAGTTAATTGTCGCTTTTCTGAATACCTGATCACGCCATTGTAGCCCAATAAAGACAACAATTTCATAAAAAAGTTAATAAAATGTATTTCAAGATGGTATGAATATCCCAGAGAGATTCTTTCCTTGTACAGTTTTCAGCACTGCAATTTAGTGAAACATGAAATGTCTTGATGTAAGCAGGTATCATTCATTCTTTTATGCCCTGGTACAAAATATCGTGGTGAGTGTGAATGTATAGTTTTGGGGGAAATATCATCTGATGTTAAATGTTCAGCATCAAGAAATTCACAACCAGGACCAGTGATTTGCAAAGGCAAGTGTCATCTGGACATAGTCATGACTTTAGCAATTTTGATAGGACATTCTTCTATACCATCACCAAAACCGAGACCATATTTAGGAAATTTTGGATAACAATCAATGTCCAAGACAATGCCTGATCTGAAAGCTGCAAGTCTGTACCAAATTTCTGCTAGCCGGGATAAGGCATTAGTCTGTCTATTATCTCCATGAACCATACTATTTTCCCTTCCATCATTCCTTACTGCAATGCTACATCCTTAGTTGAGACAGTCTAGTTTCCCTATCTCACTCCGGCTTCTTTACAATTTACATGCAGTAGCTTGTTTTTATCAAAACTATATACTTTCAGTGACTAAGCATCAGTCCATGGCATAATCTTCTAACATACCTATTTTCCTTTCACATGAATACGACTCAGAATACAGTATATGGCTCCAAGACTACCATCAGGAAGCATTTATTACATACATGCCATAGGCGCCTTACTTCTGACATGAGATTCCTGACACATCACATATGAGGGTATATATCAAGATATAGCACAATTGACATGATACGGACAAGATGCTGGCCCTGTTATCCAGCTGCATGCAATATGATGCAGTTGATAATGATCTGTTATTCCCGGTACAGAGCTTCTATGGAAACAGATGTGACTGCACTATATATATGGCACTTCCTCCAGAGAACAGGAAGATTTCTCTGTCAACATCCCTGGATCACAGATAGCGGTAATTATCATAATCCTGGTCGGTAGTTGAGGGTATAAGGGAGCTGGTGGTGGAGATTCTTCAGTTGAAAAATTGAAACTGATTACACTCTTTGGAGGGAGGGAGAGTTAGAAGAACAGGCTAATGGCAGACAATTAAAGGCTGAATATAAAAACACATAAAATACTCGTAAGTTACCTTATTGACAACAAACTGTTGAGGAACCACTAAAACAATTGGTCTACACTTTCACAGCTAGTTATTGTTAATCATATCTTCAGAAATGAAAAGTTTTCAGAAGTTAATCATGATATGGGAAAATGGATTTGGCATAGAGAGATCTATAAGATAGTGTGCGAAGCCCTTTCATCTATAGTTCAGTAAGTTCTGCTCCACCCTAACTTTAGGGTGGTA